AGTTGATGGTCAACAAATAGTAATGCCTAAGCCTTATGAGAAAGTTAGTTTTAAGCATCACTTCAAAAAGTTAAGATGTCCTTTTGTTGTATATGCTGATTTTGAATGTTTGACAGAGGAACTGAAAAAACCTGATGAAGATGAAGATAAAAACACTTTTTCTTATCAAGAGCATAAGCCATGTGGTTTTATGCTTAATATGGTTAATGCTGTTGATAATACAAATTATGAATTTATGTATCGTGGTAAAGATGCTGTTGATGTGTTTTGTCAAAAACTTAATGACATTAGGGCAGAAGTAAAGGAGAAGATGGGAGAAAACGAAAAAATAGACATGACTGACGAAGACAAAGAAGATTTTAAAAATGCTAAAAACTGCTTTATTTGTGGAGACAAGTTTAGAATGAACTATAAGAATGCCAAGGAAGAAGAGAAATATAGAAAAGTTAGAGACCATTGTCATTGTACAGGTAAGTATAGAGGTTGTGCTCATAATGTTTGCAATCTTAATTTTTGTAATAGATATTTTAAAATTCCTGTATTCTTCCATAACATGAAAAATTATGATGGTCATTTAATTATTCAAAATGCGGATAAATTAAGTAACAACAATAAAATAGGTGTCATCGCTCAGAACAGTGAAAAATTTATTAATATCAGTTTTGAAAGTTTGAGTGTTAAAGACACTTTTGGGTTTTTAACTGCTTCATTAGATAAGTTAGTTTCAATGAGTAAGTATGATAATACAGATGAAGAAGATAAAAGTAAATGGTTATTGCGTGAAAACTGGAAAGATAATTTTAGGTTCAGTAGTAAAAATGATTTGATTAAGAGTGAGAAATGTCTAGATTTATTAACTGATAAAGGCGTTTATCCTTATGACTACATGAATTCATTTGGTAAATTTGATGATGAGCAATTACCGAGTAAGGATGATTTTTATAGTCAGTTGAGTGAAGAAGGTATAAGTGTTAACGACTATGAAAGGGCAAAAATTATATGGAAGCATTTTGACATTAAGAATATGGGTGAATACCATGATTTATATTTGAAAACTGATGTATTGTTATTGACTGACATTTTCGAAAATTTTAGAGATGTATGTATGAAATATTATGGATTGGACCCTGCTTATTATTATACATTGCCTAACTTTGCTTTTGATGCTATGCTTAAAATGACTGGTGTAGAGATTGATTTAATATATGACCAAGAAATGTATGAAATGATAGAAGCGGGACTTAGAGGCGGGATGTGTATGGTTTCTACTAAAAAAGTTGAAGCAAATAATAAATACATGGGAGAAGAATATGATAAAAATAACGAAAGTAGTTATATTAACTATTTTGATGCTAATAATTTGTACGGGTTAAGCATGATACAAAAACTGCCATATAAAAATTTAAAATGGGATGATACATTAAAAGAAGAAGACATTATTAATTACAAAAATAATAATATTGGATCTATTCTAGAAGTGGATTTAGAATATTCTAAAGAATTACACGATTTACACAATGACTATCCAATGGCACCTGAGGTTATGAATGTTAAAGCCAACATGCTGTCAGATAAACAAATTGAAATTTATGAATTTTTAAATCATAAAAAACCTACGGATGAGAAAACAAATAAATTAGTATTGAATTTAAATGATAAAGAAAAATATGTAATCCATATAAGAACCTTACAATTTTATTTGAAGCAAGGGTTAAAACTTAAGAAAATTCATAGAGCAATTAAATTTGAACAAAAAGAAGTTTTAAAACCTTACATTGAGTTTAACACTGAGAAGAGGAAGAATGCTAGAAATGATTTTGAGAAAGATGTTTACAAATTGATGAACAATGCCATATTTGGAAAAACAATGGAGGATAAGCGAAAACATTTAGACTTTGAAGTTGTGAGTGATGAAACTAGATATATGAAGTGTGTAAGTAATCCTAACTTCAAACATAGTCATATCATTAATGAAAATTTGGTTGGAGTTGAAAAGCAAAAAACAAAGTTGAAACTAGACAAACCTATATTTATTGGGATGAGTATTTTAGATTTGAGTAAGCAACACATGTATAAATTTTATTATGACGTTATAAAGCCTAAATATGGAGATAATATTAAAATGGTATATACTGATACTGATAGTTTTGTATTTCATACTAAAACCAATGACATTTATGAAGACCTGAATACAATTAAAAAAGAAATAGATTTTTCAGATTATCCTAAGGAACATAAATGTTATGATGATAATAACAAGAAAGTATTAGGTAAATTTAAGGATGAATTAAAAAGTAAAATAATAACAGGGTTTATAGCCCTTCGTCCTAAATGCTATGCTTACTCAGTTTATGGTGATGATAAAAAATATAAGAAATGTAAGGGCATAGCAAAAGGCACAGTAAGACGTCAAATGAAATATGAAGAGTTTGAGACGGTTTTAAAAACTAATGAGGTTATACATAAGTCATTTAATAGTATTAGAAGTAAAAACCACAGAATTTTTAGTATAACAACTAAAAAAATTGCTCTTAGTAGTTATGAAAACAAAAAATATTGGATAGATAGTATAAACTCACTTGCTTACGGTCATTATAAAATAAATTCTTTGAAAACGACTTAAAGAAATATTGACTTAATATATTAAGATAGTAATGAGTGATGCAGAAAGTGAATATGGAGAATATAGTTATATAGAAAATGTGTATAGCGAATTTAATGATACTGTCCATGAAGATATTGATGTTAAAAATATATTGAAACAAAAGTTTAAGAATTACAAATGTAAAGACTGTGAGATGCTAAAGTTAACAATTCAACAGGGTTTTATAGATGGTGTTAGTAATAATATTTGTCAATGTATGATATGTGATAATTGTAATAAAATGTTAAACAAAACTGATGATATGAATAACGAGGATATTGATAATAGAAATGCTGAAACTCTTGATGATGATTTAGAAATATTTGTTTTTATTGAAATGAATAAGTTCTTGACTGAAGAAGAGTTTTATAATTTATTATATAAGGGCGATGATGAAGGAAATACTAATGATTTTATTGTGAAGTACTACAGCTTGGTAAAAAGATTATACAATATGTCTTTTAGCATTAAACGTTTAAACTACGAAGCATTAAACGATAATGACTTTGATTTCTTAAGTTGTGAGTATGATGTAGATGAACTTAGTTATACAGTAATACATGCAATTGAAGTAATGGGCTGGTTTAAAAAGGAAATAGGAAATAATATTTATAATGAAAAAACAGTTGATAAAATAGTGAAACGAATTAAAGAAGAATTTTATAATGAATTAGAATAAAGTTGAACTCATACTATAATAATAACATGTAAACTATTATATGTTATAATTGTAATATATTTATCGTTTGTAAAGATTGAATTATTATATTTTCCTAATTTACTTTCGTGCTTTGACTGTTTGGTTTTGTGGAACTATTAGGTGAAATGTTTTAGTCATATTTTTAAGTCTGAGTGAAAAATTCGCGAACAATGAATAAGGTAAAAAGAAAAAATGAAGAACAACTGGAGTTTCTGAGAATTGGAAAAAGACTTAAACTATAAAATGAATAAGGGTAAACAAATAGTAAAATGAAATAGGTTAAGTAGTGAAAAAATAATGGATAAGGTGTGTATCTTTTCTAGGAATTACTTAGAATGAATAAGGTTGTGATTTATTAACCTTATCTATTATTTGATACTTGGTTTTTCAATGTGTTTTTCATTGGTTGATAGAAAAAATAGTAAACAGATGTTCAGTTCCTTCAAATCCCCTTTTACTATTTTTGGGGGAGGGGGGACCGCTGGTTTGGTTTGACACATATGGCTGTGCTTCAAAGCTGGGGCTTTCTCCAAGTGGTGGTTTTCCTCCGTGTGACTTTTGAAAACCATGTCCAAAACACAGCCTTGGTGTTGATGCATGGTCACACACCAGCGTGGCAAGCCGTACGCCAACCATGTTTGACAGGTCCTTGAAGATTTCCAAAGACACACTGGAGGTGGTACTTGCCGTGTGGGCGGGGGGCTGCAATCGCCTGGGGGAACCCGCCAAAGCGGACATGGTATTCCATAAGCCTTGAACTTCCATCCCCGGGATTCTTCACAGTCGAGGAAATTGTGGAACACGCAGACCGTGGGAAGAAGTGGTTCAGGGGCTAGGTGACAGATCAATACCAGGACACTTTCGGAAGGGATTCTCACTCTTGCCAACGTTGAGTCAACCTGTGCGAACATCACGAAAAAAACACATTGTCTCTGGTGCTCAGCATGGATGATTCGGCTTCTGGATATGAATGGGAGAAAGGAGAACGCTCTTGGGCTTACTTGCCAGTAATTTCCGGGAGAGGGGTACGTTGCTGGAGGGAAGCCAGGCACCTGTTGCCACTGCCTTTTGGGAAAGGAGCGTTCCGTAAGAGCGCTTTGAGCTGCAGAACTTCCAAATCCCGTGAACAAACAATGGTTGCCGGCAAGGATTGAAAGCTGATGCTGCAGTCGACCGTTGTTTTGCTCGTCTGCATGTTGTTGATGATAATCTATGTTGTAGTCTATGTCTAGTTGAAGTTGTTGTGTAGGTGCTGCAGCTGCAGCAAATGCAGCAAATGCAGCAAATGCAGCAAAGCAGGTGTAGGTTAACCAGCAATACACAACCGTCTACGATTAAAACAAGATGGGTGGCTAAACCAAGATTTATTAATCTCTGCTGGAACACATGCAAAGTACAAAGGGGGCACTTGTTCCTTTGCAACCCGAGCCCCAGTGTTGCAGATCGTGCGGATGGAAGGGTCCACCTCGTTGCTCTGAAACCTCTCAACTCCAGTCTTGCCCTTTGGACTGACAGCAAGTTGCATGGCGGTGGAGCAGACGCCCATCGCAGCACAGGGGGGCTCAATGTCTATGAACTTACCCAACATAACCCCAAGCCAGGGACTTAAGCCTTTTGTCCCATAAAAAGGCCTGAACTTGCAGCACGGCTCCCTGCCTGTTGAGGCCTTGATCAATGTGAAGAAGCCGTCACCGAGCCGGAGATCAGTGTCAAACTCCTTCGGCGTTCGGTTTCATGCATGCACATGTGCTTGGCAATTGTTCTTACCCAACTAGAGTTCACTGTCACGGGCCCCAAAATTGGAAAAAGTGTCCCTATGAAAGGAGCCTTGATAAGGTTGCACACAACTTGAGGTCGCAACTTGAAACAGATTGCTCCGGTTGTCTTGGAGAAGCCTCAAACCTCGGCCCCATGGCCAACTTCTGAGGGCCCAGTTTGAGGATGCCTGGAGCCCTCGAGGTGCCCAAGCTCAGTCACTAGAACCTGCAAAGACCGGCACAAAACCATCTGCCGAAAGAATACGGGACTCCCTACCAAAAAAGACGCCTGAAGTGACGTCACAATCTCCCAGAGTGGCGTTGTTTAAAACAAAAACATATTCAAAAAAAAAATGCCCAGCGACAATTGGTGCCCTCTCCCCGCACAAGATTGGCCCTGGCCTTGGGGCTAACATGTGCACTACTGAGCGCCTTGTTTCAATATCGCTCTTCAAAACCGTGGACAAACATAGCGGCCACGGGCGAAAGCCAAATTCCCTTTTGGCAATTGAGGAGAAGATCATTTTCAGGTCTGCCATTTTTTTGAGGGCATTTAATGACCCCGTCTTGGGGTGTTTTTTTTTACCATTGGTGGGGGGGTCCACTACGGAAAAGCGACGCCGAATTGTCCATCCGAGGCGCCAGCACCGCGGTTTGGTACACCGAGCCCCGGCGGATGCCGCGGAGGCGCGGCGGAGTGGGCACGGGGTCCTCCACCAGGAGGTAGCTGCCCACCTCGAAGCTTCCGTTGCGAAAATGGGCGGATTACAGGCCGCTCCTTCAGAGCTTCAGATCTGTTTTTTCTTTTTCTTTTTCAAAGAGCGAATTGCAGTTTTTCAAGATCTGGTTGCAAACGAAAACTCGCCACACCCAAGTTCAAATCGGGAATCCAAAACAAACAAACAAACAAACGGACCATGGCTGAGCTCGTGCCTAACTGAGCTCATTGGACATATTTCCCCGCTCGCCCACTTTCCGACTGCCCGCTCCGTGGGCCCCGGTTCTGGGCCCCGGGCGCGAGCAGAGCTCCGGATGGCGCGCTCGAAGTGGAGCACCAAGGAACGGCTCAGGGCCTTGGCTCCGGCCGCGGAAGGGCTCGAATGCTTGTGTCGGCCCCTCGTGTTCCGACCGCCTGGCAGAAAAAACAGGAAAACAAGAGGAGCCCGGGAACCCAAAAGCAAACCAGCCTCACTCCCCATGGCATGTGGATCCCGTTTTTTTCCGGCTCAAGGGTCCGAAGGCAAACCAAGATTTAAGTGGTTCACAGTTGGGAAATCAACCCCAAAACAGATGAAGAAGGGGAGCAACCGCGACTCAAGCCGGATTGGCAGCCAGCAGCCTGTGCTCTGACCAAGCACAGAGAAAAAGGCAAAGGCACGGGTGAAACATGACAGGCCCCGCACTACATGGAAGGCACGAAGTCATCCGATTCATCATGAAGAACCAATCGCAGAAATCCGAAAATAAATCCGCACAAACTACCACTCCCAAATTAGAAGCAAGGCATAAGCTCGCTTTACACCCATCTGAAACAAGTCTGAGACACAGTGTTGCAACACGATCTGAGTAGACCGGGGTCAGCTGTTCGGATGTTCATGCGCCCTTTTGTTTGGGCCGAGTGTGCTCAGCATATTCATGCCAACGTGCTTCCAGGCTGCTTCCAAATAAGTAGGGCGAACCCCAAGAGGCCACAGACTCTGAAGAGAGGGCTCGTCCTAGAAACACATTGGCACCATTTGTTCGGGTTAGGTGTGCGGCAAAAATCACAATTTTGGCGCACCTGGAACGCCGGGCTGTTCACATGGAGCCGTGCACGTGGCCTTCACAAACTTGCTTCGTAAGCTTGCTTGGATTCGGTAGTTTCTCCACCTATTTTCCCATTCGCAACCAACTGCAACTGGTGACTTTGTGGAAAGGGCCGCGCACGTTGTCAATTGGATGCGTGTGGATGGCAAGTTGGGTGGATTCGCCGGGGCTCGGTGTGGACAAGCCTCGGTCACTTGGTGGGTCTGACGCCTGTCCGAAACAAGTCTGAGACACAGTGTTACCACGATCTGCGTAGACCGGGGTCAGCTGTTCGGATGTTCATGCGCCCTTTTGTTTGGGCCGAGTGTGCTCAGCATATTCATGTCAACGTGCTTCCAGGCTGCTTCCAAATAAGTAGGGCGAACCCCAAGAGGCTACAGCTTCTGAAGAGAGGGTTCGTCCTAGAAACACATTGGCACCGTTTGTTCGAGTCATTTGCGCGGCAAAAAACAATTTTGGCGCACCTGGAACGCCGGGCTGTTCACATGGAGCCGTGCACGTGGCCTTCACAAACTTGCTTCGTAAGCTTGCTTGGATTCGTTAGTTTCTCCACCTATTTTCCCATTCGCAACCAACTGGTGACTTTGTGGAAAGGGCCGCGCACGTTGTCAATTGGATGCGTGTGGATGGCAAGTTGGGTGGATTCGCCGCAGGTGTGTGAAGACGGGGCCGCCGCTGCGCTTTTGCGGGGGGGGCTCGGTGTGGACAAGCCTCGGTCACTTGGTGGGTCTGACGCCTGTCCGAAACAAGTCTGAGACACAGTGTTACCACGATCTGCGTAGACCTGGGTCAGCTGTTCGGATGTTCATGCGCCCTTTTGTTTGGGCCGAGTGCGCTCAGCATATTCATGTCAACGTGCTTCCAGGCTGCTTCCAAATAAGTAGGGCGAACCCCAAGAGGCTACAGACTCTGAAGAGAGGGTTCGTCCTAGAAACACATTGGCACCGTTTGTTCGAGTCATTTGTGCGGCAAAAAGGACAATTATGGCGTACCTGGAGCACCGGGCTGTTCACATGGAGCCGCGTGCGTGGCGGTTGCCGCGCGTCATGAGCGACCACCGCGCGCAGTCTCGCTCGCCGGCGTGTCACGAGCGTCCACCGCGCCAGTCTCGCTCGCCGGCATGTCACGAGCGTCCACCGCGCCAGTCTCGCTCGCAAGCGGATTCCGCTTTTCACGAGCGTCCACCGCGCCAGTCTCGCTCGCAGGCGGTTTCCGCATGTCACGAGCGTCCACCGCGCCAGTCTCGCTCGCGGGCGGTTTCCGCATGTCACGAGCGTCCACCGCGCCAGTCTCGCTCGCGGGCGGTTTCCGCATGTCACGAGCGTCCACCGCGCCAGTCTCGCTCGCGGGCGGTTTCCGCATGTCACGAGCGTCCACCGCGCCAGTCTCGCTCGCGGGCGGTTTCCGCATGTCACGAGCGTCCACCGCGCCAGTCTCGCTCGCGGGCGGTTTCCGCCTGTCACGTGCGTCCACCGCGCCAGTCTCGCTCGCGGGCGGTTTCCGCATGTCACGAGCGTCCACCGCGCCGCTTCCGCATGTCACGAGCGTCCACCGCGCCAGTCTAGCTCGCGGGCGGTTTCCGCATGTCACGAGCGTCCACCGCGCCAGTCTCGCTCGCGGGCGGTTTCCGCACCGCGCCAGTCTCTCTCTCTGGCGGTTTCCGCAGTCCACCGCGCCAGTCTCGCCCACGGGCGGTTTCAGCATGTCACGAGCGTCCACCGCGCCAGTCTCGCTCGCCGGCGGTTTCCGCATGTCACGAGCGTCCACCACGACAGTCTCGCTCGCGGGCGGTTTCCGCATGTCACGAGCGTCCACCGCGCCAGTCTCGCTCGCGGGCGGTTTCCGCATGCGAGCGTCCACCGCGCCAGTCTCGCTCGCGGGCGGTTTGGCGCATGTCACGAGCGTCCACCGCGCCAGTCTCGCTTGCGGGCGGTTTCCGCATGTCACGAGCGTCCACCGCGCCAGTCTTGCTCGCGGGCGATTTCCGCATGTCACGAGCGTCCACCGCGCCAGTCTCGCTCGCAGGCGTTTTTCCGCATGTCACGAGCGTCCAGCGCCAGTCTCGCTCGCGGGCGGCTTCCGCATGTCACAAGCGTGCAGCGCGCCAGTCTTGCTCGCGGGCGGTTCCCGCATGTCACGAGCGTCCACCGCGCCAGTCTCGCTCGCGGGCGGTTTCCCCATGTCACAAGCGTCCACCGTGCCAGGCTCGCTCGCGGGCGGTTTCCGCCTGTCACGAGCGTCCACCGCGCCAGTCTCGCTCGCAGGCGGTTTCCGCATGTCACGAGCGTCCACCGCGCCAGTCTCACTCGCGGTCGGTTTCCGCCTGTCAAGAGCGTCCACCGCGCCAGTCTTGCTCGCGGGCGGTTTCCGCATGTCACGAGCGTCCACCGCGCCAGTCTCGCTCGCGGGCGTGGCCAGTCTCGCTCGCGGGCGGCTTCCGCATGTCACGAGCGTCCACCGCGCCAGTCTCGCTCGCGGGCGGTTTCCGCCTGTCAAGCGTCCACATGTCACGAGCGTCCACCGCGCCAGTCTCGCTCGCGGGCGGTTTCCGCCTGTCACGAGCGTCCACCGCACCAGTCTCGCTCGCGGGCGGTTTTCCGCATGTCACGAGCGTCCACCGCACCATGCAGTCTCGCTCGCGGGCGGTTTTCCGCATGTCACGAGCGTCCACCGCGCCAGTCTCGCTCGCGGGCGTCTTCCGCATGTCACGAGCATCCACCGCGCCAGTCTCGCTCGCGGGCGGTTTCCGCATGCATGTCACGAGCGTCCACCGCGCCAGTCTTGCTCGCGGGCGGTTTCCGCATGTCACGAGCGGCCACCGCGCCAGTCTCGCTCGCGGGCGGTTTCCGCATGTCACGAGCGTCCCCCGCGCCAGTCTCGCTCGCGGGCGGTTTGCCGCATGTCACGAGCGTCCACCGCGCCAGTCTCGCTCGCGGGCGGTTTCCGCATGTCACGAGCGTCCACCGCGCCAGTCTCGCTCGCACGAGCGTCCACCGCGCCAGTCTCGCTCGCGGGCGGTTTCCGCATGTCACGAGCGTCCACCGCGCCAGTCTCGCTCGCGGGCGGTTTTCCGCATGTCACGAGCGTCCACCGCGCCAGTCTCGCTCGCGGGCGGTTTCCGCATGTCACGAGCGTCCACCGCGCCAGTCTCGCTCGCGGGCGGTTTCCGCATGTCACGAGCGTCCACCGGCCAGTCTCGCTCGCGGGCGGTTTCCGCATGTCACGAGCGTCCACCGGCCAGTCTCGCTCGCGGGCGGTTTCCGCATGTCACGAGCGTCCACCGCGCCAGTCTCGCTCGCGGGCGGTTTCCGCATGTCACGAGCGTCCATCGCGCCAGTCTCGCTCGCGGGTTTCCAGCCACGCCCAGTCTGCGTCCCCCCAGCCAGCCAGTCTCGCTCGCGGGCAGTCTGCACCACACCGCCGTCCCCAGCCAGCCCCACACCGCCGTCCTCCCAGCCAGCCTCGTACGCCCTGTCTGCACCCCCAGCCGGCATCGCACGCCCGGTCTGCAGCACAACGAAATGGAAATCCCTTCATATCTCCGTCGTCACAGCTTGTATCGCTCCCAGGCACCTTAAGAGAAAACCTAAAGCAGAACCCAAGCATCAGAGATGCTATTGGGAATAACAACGAGCGTAGCCTCTCGAATGGCAATGACTCATCCAAAGTCTCTGGGGGAAAAAAGAGAACACCGACCGTAGCTGCTAGATTTTAAACGCGAGGTCATGCGCGAGTCGACGTTTGGACTCATTTGCACAGCTAAATGGAGGCAACTGGCCGGGCCTCCTGAGATGACTTTGGGCTGTAACATGATACAATATGTACAAACACAAGCTCTCAATGTGTGCAAACTGAACAGACAACAAAAGCCCTCAAGACCACCTCTGGCACGGCCAAATTCCGCTATATAAATATCTACATCTACAAGCGGCTCACCGGCGATCGCTCGCGGCGATCGTTGTGGGCCTTCGCAGCTCCTTTGAACCTCGATCGACAGATTCCGCGGACTTCGCCCATGGGCCTCACTTCTTTACCCATGCCTCCTCAGGGTTGAGTGATCCGGACCAATCCGCTTAACTTGCTGGTGCGATAGGTAGGGAATGAGGAAGGAAATTGGGGGTCCCCTGAAAGGAAGCCACCAGTTGGGATGGTGTAACTTGGGGTCATTCCCTCATTCCCTACTGAGCACACACAAGTTAAACCCGACAATCAACCACTGCCGTTGAAGTATCGCCCTTTTCGACTTCCCTCACAGAGGTTTCTGTGC